CGGGGCTAAAGATGGGCGTGGTTGAATGGGCAGGGCTAAATGGAGTGGGCGGGGCTAAATGGGGTGGGCGGGGCTTAGTAGGGTGGGATGAATGATGGTGGGACTGGGTTGGGCAGGACTTAGTGGGACCTATGAAGAGGAGGGGATGAAGGAGGTGGGATCTAGGGGGGGTTCGGGGCCCGGCCGTGCCTCAGTTTCCCCGTTGCCCCCCCAGACGCGGTGGGGCTGTCGGACCCGGGGCAGGTGGCGGGGCTGCAGGAGAAGTCCCAGGTGGCCCTGGAGGAGCACGTGAGGAGACAACACCCCAGCCAACCCAGTCGCTTCGGGCGTCTTCTCCTGCGCCTGCCCGCCCTGCGCAGCGTCTCCGCCCCCGGCATCCAGCAGCTCTTCTTCAGCCGCCTGGTGGGCAAGACCCCCATCGAGACCCTCATCCGCGACATGCTGCTGGCCGGGGCCACCCTCAACTGGCCCTACGGCCCCATGCAGTGACCGGCCACCACGGGATGGGGACCCCAAGGTGGGGACTCCAAGGATGGGGACATCGAGGTTGGCACCTCAAAGATGGAGTCACCAAGGATGGGGCCACCAACGATTCAGACCCTCAAAGATGTGGTCATCAAGGAGGGGATCCCAAAGATGGAGTCACCAAGGAGGGGATCCCAAAGATGGAGACACCAAGGATGGGGACACCAAGGTTGGCACCCCAAAGATGGAGTCACCAAGGAGGGGATCCCAAAGATGGAGACACCAACGATGGGGACACCAAGGTTGGGGATCCCAAAGATGGAGACACCAAGGATGGGGACACCAAGGTTGGCACCCCAAAGATGGTGTCACCAAGGAGGAGATCCCAAAGATGGAGACACCAAGGATGGGGACACCAAGGTTGGCACTCCAAAGATGGAGTCACCAAGAATGGGGCCACCAACGATTCAGACCCCCCAAAGATGGAGACACCAACGATGGGGACACCAAGGTTGGGGATCCCAAAGATGGAGACACCAAGGATGGGGACATCAAGGTTGGCACCTCAAAGATGGAGTCACCAAGGATGGGGCCACCAACGATTCAGACCTTCAAAGATGTGGTCACCAAGGAGGGGAGCCCAAAGATGGAGTCACCAAGGATGGGGCCACCAACGATTCAGACCCCCCAAAGATGGAGACACCAACGATGGGGACACCAAGGTTGGGGATCCCAAAGATGGGGACACCAAGGATGGGGCCACCAAGGTTGGCACCCCAAAGATGGAGTCACCAAGGATGGGGCCACCAACGATTCAGACCCCCCAAAGATGGAAACACCAACGATGGGGACATCAAGGTTGGGGATCCCATGGATGGGACCTCAAAGATGGGGAAACCACCAACAATTCAGACCCCCAATGATGGGGTCACCAAGGAGGGGATCCCAAGATGGAGACACCAAGGATGGGGACACCAAGGTTGAAGACCCCAAAGATGGGGGCACCAATGATTCAGTTCCCCAAAGACAGGAACCCCATGGTTGGGGACCCCAAGGAGGGGATCCCAAAGATGGGGACACCAAGGATGGGGACACCACCCCCCCCAAAGATGGGACCCCATGGTTGGGGACTCCAAGGAAGGGAGCCCAAAGATGGGGACACCAAGGATGGAGCCATCAAAGATGGGGTCACCAAGATTGGGTCCCAAGGAGGGGATCCCAAAGATGGAGACACCAAGGTTGGGGGACCTCAAAGAGGGGACCCCAAAGACAAGGACCCTATGGTTGAAGACCCTCAAGGATGGGGACACCAAGGTTGGAGACCCCACAGATGGGACTCCAGGGATGGGACCCCAAAAATGGGGACACCAAGGATGGAGACATCAAAGATGGGGACACCAAGATTGGACCCCAAGGAGGAGATCCCAAAGATGGAGACACCAAGGTTGGGGGACCTCAAAGAGGGGACCCCAAAGACAAGGACCCTATGGTTGAAAACCCTCAAAGATGGGGACACCAAGGTTGGAGACATCAAAGATGGGGTCACCAAGATTGGACCCCAAGGAGGGGATCCCAAAGATGGAGACACCAAGGTTGGGGGACCTCAAAGAGGGGACCCCAAAGACAAGGACCCTGTGGTTGGGGACCCCCCCAAGGATGGGGACACCAAGGTTGGAGACCCCAAAGATGGGACTCCATGGATGGGACCCCAAAAATGGGGACACCAAGGCTGGGGGACCTCAAAGAGGGGACCCCAAAGACAAGAACCCTATGGTTGGAGACCCTCAAGGATGGGGACACCAAGGATGGAGACTCCAAAGATGGGACTCCAGGGATGGGACCCCAAAAATGGGGACACCAAGGATGGAGACATCAAAGATGGGGACACCAAGATTGGACCCCAAGGAGGAGATCCCAAAGATGGAGACACCAAGGTTGGGGGACCTCAAAGATGGGACCCCAAAGACAAGAACCCTGTGGTTGGAGACCCTCAAGGATGGGGACACCAAGGTTGGAGACCCCAAAGATGGGACTCCAGGGATGGGACCCCAAAAATGGGGACCCCCAAAGGTTGGGGACCTGGGGCCTTGGGTGGGGGTGATTTTTCCCCCCAATTTAAGGGTGAAAAGCAGGTTTTTGGGGGGGCTGACCCCCCCCCGGGCACAGGGCGAGGGGGGGCTATTTATAAAGAGAAACTAAAATAAAGCAAAAGGTGATATTTATCTCCTAAAAAAATAATACAATTTGTCAAATTCAATATTTTAACCTTTTTTTGGCTGGAATTGGGGTTGGAAGGAAAAGGGATCGAAGGCGCCGCTCCCTCCCAGTATCATCCCAGTTAAGCCCCATCCACCCCCAGTGTGGTCCCTGTGGACCAGTTGGATCCCAGTATGGAGCCCGGGTTTATCCCAGTGTCCAGCCCCAGTACCATCCCTGTGTGCCTTCCCAGTTTGATCCCAGTACGCTGTCCCAGTCTGATCCCTCTAGGATCCCAGTCTCATCCCAGTGTGGCCCCCAGTCTCATCCCAGTATGGTCTTAGTCTCATCCCAGTAAGCCCCAGTCTCATCCCAGTGAGCATCCCAGTCTGGTCCCAGTAAGCCCCCCAGTCTGATCCCAGTATGGTCCTGGTCTCATCCCAGTGAGCATCCCAGTCTGATCCCAGTACAGTCCCAGTCTCATCCCAGTCTGATCCCAGTGAGCATCCCAGTCTGATCCAAATAAGACCCCCTGTCTGATCCCAGTCCGATCCCAGTCTCATCCCAGTGAACATCCCAGTCTGATCCCAATAAGCCCCCCAGTCCGATCCCAGTCTCATCCCAGTGAGCATCCCAGTCTGGTCCCAGTAAGCCCCACAGTCTGATCCCAGTCTCATCCCAGTCTCATTCCAGTGAACATCCCAGTTTGATCCCAACAAGCCCCCCAGTCCGATCCCAGTCTCATCCTAGTCTCATCCCAGTCTCATCCCAGTGAACATCCCAGTCTGGTCCCAGTAAGCACCCCAGTCTGATCCCAGTCTGACCCCAGTCTCATCCCAGTGAGCATCCCAGTCTGATCCCAACAAACTCCCCAGTCCGATCCCAGGCTCATCCCAGTCTCATCCCAGTGAGCATCCCAGTCTGATCCCAGTATGGTCCCAGTCTCATCCCAGTCTGGTCCCAGTAAGCCCCCCAGTCTGATCCCAATATGCCTCCCAGTCTGACCCCAGTCTCATCCCAGAGCATCCCAGTCTGATCCCAGTACGGTCCCAGTCTCATCTCAGTCTCATCCCAGTGAACATCCCAGTCTGATCCCAACAAGCCCCCCAGTCCGATCCCAGTCTCATCCTAGTCTCATCCCAGTCTCATCCCAGTCTCATCCCAGTCTGGTCCCAGTAAGCCCCCCAGTCTGATCCCAGTCTGATCCCAGTCTCATCCCAGTGAGCATCCCAGTCTGGTCCCAGTCTCATCCCAGTGAGCATCCCAGTCTGATCCCAACAAACTCCCCAGTCCGATCCCAGGCTCATCCCAGTCTCATCCCAGTGAGCATCCCAGTCTGATCCCAATAAGCCCCCCAGGCCGATCCCAGTCTCATTCCAGTGAACATCCCAGTATGATC